ATGGGGCTCTGTGTCCCGCTTCCTCCTACAATGGAAGAAAATGCAATAGGCTTGGGCAGTTTCGTTCGTTAATTTCGTAATTCGTTATTAATTCGTATTTAAATTAGCTTACGATCCAATATTGAGCCATGCAGGACTACTGTGAGGAATAATTAAAAATCGAAACAATTTTTCCAATTTATTTCGTATTGTTTCGTAATTGTTTCGTAATTGGTTCAAAATTGTTTCGAAATTGTTTCGTAATTGTTTTGTAATTATTTCCGTATGTCTGGTGCAAGTTTTATAGTTGTTGTTTGTTTTATCACACCAACAGTCAACAACAGAGGGAGAGGGAAGCTTCAGAAGTTCCCCCTGTCCCATTTGGAGGGGTTTTTAGCATATTGCGCAATCGCGTCCGCCATTAACGAATCGATTCGTAATTTTATGAAATTTCGTATATTTTGAACTTTTTTAAAGGAAAATTTCGGAATTCTTAAAAAAAACGAAATGCAGGGGCCCCCCTAAAAACGAAACGAGTTTAGAACCAAATTTGGCCATTTTGGAGGAGTCGCGTAGATATGCATAGTAGGCCTGGGTAACAACAGAAAAATTTGTTTCTAAAATCGATTTGTATTTGGGGGTTTTTTTGTTTCGATATTTAAAATAATTACAAAATTTTCCTTTTAAAAAGTTCGATATTTACGAAATTTCGTAAATGGTAAAAAATTAACAAATCGATTTCCGAAACAATAACGAATCGATTCGTTAATGGCGGACGCGACCGCGAAATACGCTAAAAAACCTCCAAAACCTTCTGAAGCTTCCCTCTCCCTCTGTTGTTGACTGTTGGTGTGATATTATAATTTTTTTTCACTAATTAAACCATAAAACTAGCCCAGACATGCGGAAATAATAACGAAACGACCTCAAAACAATAACGAAACGAATACAATATCGAAATACGAAGCATTTACAAAACGTTTTTGAAAATTCGTTTTTTTTAATAATTGCTCCAGAATGGTTCGTTATCGTTTTGTAATTGAAAAAATTAACGAATTATTAACGAATTACGAATTAACGAAACGAAACCGCCCAGCCCTAATGCATAGATATGAGATACATTATTGCGAGTATATAACTGTATTAATTTTTGGTCTATAGTGGCCTTCCGCCTTTGTATTTTGGGGAATCCTTGCTCTTAAGAATTCAATTATTTTTTTGTCGTGTCAGGAGCAACCGCTCCTGTTGTGAGAGAATTGGCCGTCTGCAAGGACGTTGCCCAGGGGACACCTGGATGATTTTTTGATGTTTTATCATCCTTGTGGGAGGCTTCTCTCATGTCCCCGCATGAGGAGCTGGAGCTGATAGAGGGAGCTCATCCGCCTCTCCCCGGATTCGAACCTGCAACCTGTCAGTCTTCAGTCCTGCCGGCACAGGGTTTAACCCACTGTGCCATCGGGGGCTCTATTACTTTAGTCGTATTGACCGACCATCTGCGCAGGGTTTATTAATTCATTTATTTATTTACTATACTTATATACCACCCCTCTCAGCCTGGAGGCGACTCGAGGTGGTTTACATTTGGCAATCAATGCCCCACAAGATAAAACACAGTCAAAACAATTAAATATAGTATAAATCGTATAAAAACAATAAACAGTAAACAATTAAAATCATAAAATACAGTTCTCAGTGTCTCATCAGTAAAATCATTTTCCATCGCATCGTCCTGTCGTTCCATGAGTCTCAATTAATCAGTTATACTGCGTCGGCAAATGCCTGCTTGAACAGCCAGGTCTTAACTCTCTTTCAAAATGTTAGGAGCGAGAGGGCCGAACTAATGTCCCTAGGGAGGGCATTCCATAGCCGGGGGGCCACTGCTGAGAAGACCCTGTCTCTTGTTCTCGCCAATTGCTTCCATACTTTGCACTTTAACAACAAAACTGTTCAATGCTAAGGCTTCCTGCCAAAATGGAACTGTAGAGGAGAGTCTACTGAACAAGATAGTACCTTCCGCATACCAGTACTGCCATCTGTTGAGGACTTACGAAGGTGGAGGCATTACTTTTCACTTTAACAAAAAAACTGTTCAATGCTAAGGTTTCCTGCCAAAATGGAACTGTAGAGGAGAGTCTACTGAACAAGACAGTACCTGCCGCATACCAGTACTGCCATCTATTGAGGAGTTACGAAGGTGGAGGCATTACTTGTTCATCCCAGCAACTACAATTCCCAAATGACGAAATCAATTCCTCCCACAAACCCACCACTATTCAAATTTGGGTGTATCGGATATTTGTGCCAAATTTGGTCCAGTGAATGAAAATACATCCTGCATATCAGATATTTACATGACAATTCATAACAGGAGCAAAATTACAGTTCTGAAGTAGCAATGAAAATAATGTTATGGTTGGGGGTCACCACAACACGAGGAACCGTATGATCTAGGTGAAGTACAGTTGGCGCGAGGGGTGTCCAGAGGGTCCCCTCTCCGCGCCTGGCTTTCCGGGAGCAAGGCAACCCTCCCCGAGGTCTCCCTATAGCAGAGCATGATTGATTGCATCTTCTTTGAGGTCACGTCTGAGAGTCTTTGCCCTCGGGGTGTTCCTGGTTCCAGCCCTTTCTTGGACAGCCCAGGCCTCCAAAGGCAGATTGCTTGCGTCTTCCTCCTCACAGGGGGAAAAAGTGATTGGTTGTCAGAGAAAGGGGAGAGGGACGTGACCCGGACTGATTAAAAAGGGAAGGGGTTGGAAGGAAGGAAAGTTCAAGGGGGAGACAGGGGCAGAGCAGAGGTGGCTCACATCCAGCGCCCGGCAAAATTATTTGGGAGGTCGTCAAAGAATTCGGTTTGCTTTGCTTGCTTGCGTGTTGTGCTCTTGCAACTTTACGCACCTATTTATATTTGATGGTGGCGGAGGGATTGACATTCGGGGGCGTCTTACAATCGAAGAAATACGGCATATTTCATATTTATTTCTCTCCTTTGTGCTTTATCCTGATGGAGGGACTCAAGGTGGCAAACGATTGTCGTGCCAATGAAAACAAGGCCAATGCGTCACGACATAAAATGTAAACATTGAGAAATAATGAAACACTTATTGTTGTCAAAACCGGGTATTTGAGACCAAATTATTTATTATTATTATTATTTAAAAGTTTTGTATACCGACCTTCTCACCTCTCTTGAGGGACTCAGACCGGTTTCCAACCATAATATCACATACAGTCAATAAAACATCATAATTCATATTACAATAAAACATTAAAACAGCAATTACATTCAATAACTACAATGGTCAGTCGTCACACTAAAATCATTGTTCATCATCCTCCATCCATATCTCAGGGTGTTGGCTCACTCGTCGAATGCCTGTCTCCATAACCACGTCTTTACCTGTTTTCTGAATGTCAGGATAGAAGGGGCAGTTCTGATCTCCAATGGGAGAGAGTTAGACTACTGCAAGGCCCTGTCCCTCATCCCCACCAGACACGCTTGCGAGGCCGGTGGGACCGAGAGCAGGGCCTCTCCAGACGATCTTAATAATCTTGATGGTTCATAGGGGAGAATACGTTCAGAGAGGTAAACAGGGCCGGAGTCGTTTAGGGCTTTAAAGGTTAACACCAGCACTTTGAATTGTGCTCGGAAACTAATTGGCAGCCAGTGGAGCTGGTGTAACAGCGGAGTGGTGTGCTCCCTGTACCCCACACCCGTTAGTAATCTGGCTGACGCGCGTTGGACTAGCTGCAGCTTCCGGGCAGTCTTCAGAGGCAACCCCATGTAGAGAGCATTGCAGTAGTCTAAACAGGAAGTAACCAGAGCGTGGACCACCATGGCCAAGTCAGACTTCCCAAGGTACGGGCGCAGCTGGTGCACAAGTTTAATTGTGCAAAAGCTCCCCTGACCACCACCGAGACCTGGGGTTCCAGGCTCAGCGATGAGTCCAGGATCACTCCCAACTGCGAACCTGCGCCTTCAAGGGGAGTGTAACCCCGTCAAGCACAGGCTGTAACCCTATGCCCTGTTCGGCCTTTCGACTGACCAGGAGTACCTCTGTCTTGTCTGGATTTAGTTTCAATCTGTTGTCCCTCATCCAGTCCATTACAGCGGCCAAGCACCGGTTCAGGACTTGAACAGCCTCCTTAGTAGCAGGTGGGAAGGAGTGACAGAGTTGGACATCATCTGCGTACAGATGACACCGCACCCCGAAACTCCGGATGATCTCTCCCAACGGCTTCATGTATATGTTAAACAACATAGGGGATAGTACTGAACCCTGCGGGACTCCACAGTACAATGGCCGAGGAGTCGAGCAGGAGTCCCCTAGTGACACCTTCTGGGAGCGACCCTCGAGGAAGGACCGGAGCCACTGCAAAGCAGTACCCCCAAGACCCATTCCCGCGAGGCGCTCCAGAAGGATACCGTGGTCGACGGTATCGAAGGCCGCTGAGAGGTCCAGCAGAACCAACAGGGACACACTCCCCTGTCCAGTTCCCGGCAAAGATCATCCACTAAGGCGACCAAGGCTGTCTCAGTACCATGTCCTAGCCTAAAGCCAGACTGCGCCGGATGTAGATAGTCCGTGTCTACCAGGAACTCCTGGTAGACACGACTATCTAGATCCGACTATCTAGATCCCAATTGCACCCTCCCCAGCAGCCTGCGTCTCATCTATTTACTTTTCTATCTAACCATCTTAATGTAGGCTTTTTTGTCTGCACCACAAAGGCAGGCATTAGGTGAAGTGGCCCTCTGAGATCCTGGGTACCTATCGTGCACAGATCTTCCGATAGCCAAGCAAAGCAATAATGTGACCCACACGTTCTTGTGGGTTGACCATCTGAGATGTCCCCATGTCATTAGGTGAAGTGGCTCTCTGAAATGTAACTGGGTTGGCTGTTATTTGGTGAAGTGGCCCGCTGAGATGTCACTGAGTTGACTGTTGCTGGATGTCACTGGGTTAGCTATCATTAGGTGAAGTGGTCCTCTGTGATGTCACCGGGTTGGCTGTCGTTAGGTGAAGTGGCCCTCTGAGATGTCACTGGGTTGGCTATCATTAGGTGACGTGACCATCTAAGATGTCCCCGTGTTGGCTGTCATTAGGTGATGTCACCATCTGAGATGTCCCCTTGTTGGCTGTCACTAGGTGATGTGACCATCTGAGATGTCCCTGTGTTGGCTGTCATTAGTTGACGTGACCATCTGAGATGTCCCCGTGTTGGCTGTCATTAGGTGATGTGACCATCTGAGATGTCCCCGTGTTGGCTGTCATTAGGTGACGTGACCATCTGAGATGTCACTGTGTTGGCTGTCATTAGGTGACGTGACCATCTGAGATGTCCCCGTGTTGGCTGTCATTAGGTGATGTGACCATCTGAGATGTCCCCGTGTTGGCTGTCATTAGGTGATGTGACCATCTGAGATGTCTCCGTGTTGGCTGTCATTAGGTGAAGTGACCATCTGAGATGTCACTGTGTTGGCTGCCTCTAGGTGAAGTGGCCCTTAGTGGGAAACAAAGCATGTTTGAAACTGCATTACATGTTCAGTGTAGACTTCATTTAATTCAGTTCAACTCCATGATATGAGTCTATGCTGACCATATAACGCCAGTGTTGACTTCTCATTAGAACACAAAACCTGTCACGTGGGAAGCGTCCTTTTTTATTTAGAGTTCTTTAGCATGCGGTGCTGCACACTTTCTTCTCTGTCTGCCTTGAGCCCTTTCCGCCCCCCTAACCCTTCCCCTTGCACCCCCCAGTGCTAGGTCTCCCCTGCCGTGGGTCAGAGCTTACTGCAAAATCACCTCACACCCCATAAGTCCTGGGTCCCCCTCCCTGGGATTAGACCTCTAACTAGCTGGCGTTTTTGAGTTTCATTGTGTCCTAAATGAATAAAATATGTGGCCGGTCCATTGGGGACTTGTGGGGCTCACCTTGGAAGTCGAGGGAGTTAATCCGAGGGGTTTCCACACTAGTCTTTCCAAAAAAGAGAGGGAAGGAAGGAAGGAAGGAAGGAAGGAAGGAAGGAAGGAAGGAAGGAAGGGATGAAAAGGCACTCTTGGCAAAGGGAAACCCAGGCTATCTCAGCTTGGATTTCATAGAATCCTAGAGTTGGAATAGACCTCATGGGCCATCCAGTCCAACCCTCTGCCAAGAAGCAGGAATATTGTATTCAAAGCACCCCTGACAGATGGCCATCCAGCCTCTGTTTAAAAGCTTCACAACTCCCAAACTCAAGGTCAATGCACACCAAACCCTTCTAGTGTTTTCTGTTGGTTATGGGAGTCCTTCTTTAGGGGTCCCTTTCAAATCTATGATACTATATCTCTCTCTGTGTGTGTGAATCATATCTATCTATCTATATCTATAGCTGGATGGCCCTCCAAACAGAGGGCTTTGCTTACATTTTCTTGCCCTGGTGAAGAGAGTTGGACTGGATGGCTTTAAGTATTTTCTGTTAGTCATGGGGAGGTTCTGTGTGGGAAATTTGCCCCCAATTCTGTCGTTGGTGGGGTTCAGAACGCTCTTTGATTGTAGGTGAACTATAAATCCCAGCAACTACAACTCCCAAATGTCATGGTCTATATCCCCCAAACTCCATCTGTGTTAATGTTTGGGCATATGGAATATTCGTGCCAAGTTTGGTCCAGATCCATCATTGTTTGAGTCCACAGTGCTCTCTGGATGTGGGTGAACTACAACTCCCAAACTCAAGGTCAATGCCCACCAAACCCTTCTGGTGTTTTCTGTTGGTCATGGGAGACCTGTGTGCCAAATTTGGTTCAATTCCATCATTGGTGGGGGTCAGATTGCTCTTTGATTGTAGGGGAACTATAAATCCCAGCAACTACAACTCCCAAATATCATGGTCTATTTCCCCCAAACTCCATCTGTGTTCATGTTTGGGCATATGGATTATTCGTGCCAAGTTTGGTCCAGATCCATCATTGTTTGAGTCCACAGTGTCCTCTGGATGTAGGTGAACTACAACTCCCAAACTCAAGGTCAATGCCCACTAAACCCTTCTAGTGTTTTCTGTTGGTTATGGGAGTCCTGTATGCCACGATTAGTTCAATTCCATCATTGGTGGAGTTCAGAATGCTCTTTGATTGTAGGTGAACTATAAATCCGAGTAACTATAACTCCCAAATGTCAGGGTCTATTACCCCCAAACTGCATCTGTGTTCATATTTGGGCATATTGAGTGCTTGTGCCAAGTTTGGTCCAGATCCATCATTGTTTGAGTCCACAGTGGTCTCTCGATGTAGGTGAACTACAATTTCCAAACTCAAGGTCAATGCCAACCAAACCCTTCTGGTGTTTTCTGTTGGTCGTGGGATTGCTGTGTGCCAGGTTTGGTTCAATTCCATCATTGGTGGGGGTCAGATTGCTCTTTGATTGTAGGGGAACTATAAATCCCAGCAACTACAACTCCCAAATGTCATGGTCTATTTCCCCCAAACTCCATCTGTGTTCCTAGTTGGGCATATGGAATATTTCTGCCAAGATCCATCATTGTTTGAGTCCACAGTGCCCTCTGGATGTAGGTGAACTACAACTCCCAAACTCAAGGTCAATGCCAACCAAACCCTTCTGGTGTTATCTGTTGGTCATGGGAATCCTGTGTGCTAAGTTTGGTCCAATTTCATCATTGGTGGAGTTCAGAATGCTCTTTGATTGTAGGTGAACTATAAATCCCAGCAACTACAACTCCCAAATGACAAAATCATTTTTTGTGTGAAGGACATACATTGGGTTGTTAGGTGTCTTGTGTCCAAATTTGGTGTCAATTCATCCAATGGTTTTTGAGTTCTGTTAATCCCACAAACTAACATTACATTTTTATTTATATAGATTTTTGTGAAAACTTCTTAATGATGATGATGATGATGATTATTATTATTATTATTATTATTATAGTGGTGTCTTGTTTGTTATGGCATTGAATGTTTGCCATTTTTGTTATACTTTGGAAGCCACCCTGAGTCCCTTTGGGGAGAGCAGGCAGAATATAAATAATGTTTTGTTGTTGTTTGTTTGTTTGTTTGTTTATTGTGGTTGCAGCCCAGGGTTTGTTTCCCTTTTAAGGAAACCCGAAGTTGTGGGGTTGCAGACTATTTTTCTCCCCCTCTTTGGCTCCAAAGCAATGTAAGCAAAGGGAAAATACATAGAAAGTGTTTTTCTTCTTGTTCCACAATACAATTCAATATAATATAATATAATATAATATAATATAATATAATATAATATAATATAATATAATATAATATAATATAATATAATATAATATAATATAATATAATATAATATAATAATATAATAATAATTGCTTCTTTCCTGTAACCCACTGCGCCACCGGGGACTTATATTATTATATTATATTATATTATATTATATTATATTATATTATATTATATTATATTATATTATTATTATATTATATTATATTATATTATATTATATTATATTAATAAATAAAATAAAATATTATATTATTATAATACAATATGATATAATATAATATAATATAAAATACAATAATACTAGAATAGAATGGAATAGAAATACAATTATAATATAATATAATATATACAGTAATATAATAGAATAGAAATACAATAAAAATAAAATATAATATATTATAATAATATTATCCTACAATATGATATAAAATACAATAATAGAATACGATATGATATAATAATACTATGATATGATATGATAAAATATAATACAGTAATATTAGAATAGAATAGAAATACAATAAAATATTAAAATAATATTATAATACAATATGATATGATATAATAGAATATAAAAAATACAATAATATTAGAATAGAATAGAAATACAATAATAATGTAATATAATATACAGCAATCTAATAAAATAGAATAGAAATACAATAAAAATAAAATATAAAATTAAAATAATATTATGATACAATATATGATATAAAATACAATAATATAATATAATACGATATGATATAGTAATACAATGATATAATATAATACAATAATATTATAATAAAATAGAACAGAAATAAAATAAAATATTAAAATAATATTATACAATCTGATATGAAATATAATAGAATAGAAAAAATATTAGAATAGAATAGAAATAAAATATTATATTATTATAATACAATATGATATAATATAATATAATATAAAATACAATAATACTAGAATAGAATGGAATAGAAATACAATTATAATATAATATAATATATACAGTAATATAATAAAATAGAATAGAAATACAATAAAAATAAAATATAATATAACATTACAATAATATTATCATACAATATGATATGATATAATATACAATAATAGAATAGAATACGATATGATATAGTAATACAATGATGATATAATATAATACAATAATATTAGAATAAAATAGAATAGAAATAAAATATTAAAATATAATACAATATGATATGATATGACATAATACAATAATATTAGAATAGAATGGAATAGAAATACAATTATAATATAATATACAGTAATATAATAAAATAGAATAGAAATACAATAAAAATAAAATAGAATATTACAATAATATTATCCTACAATATGATATGATATGAAAATACAATAATATAATAGAACACGATATTATATAATAATACAATAATATGATATGATAAAATATAATATAATACAGTAATATTAGAATTGAATAGAAATAAAATAAAGTATTAAAAGGGAGAGAAAGAGGAGAAGACGACAGAGAAAGTTGAGGAGAGAAGGAAAGGAAGGAAGAGGAGGAGAAAAAGAAGGTGAAGAAGGAGAAGGAGCAGAAGGAGGAGAAGGAAAAAGGGGAGAGGAGGAGAGGGGGAAAAAGAAGGAAAAAGAGAGGGGGAAGGGGGGAAAAGAGGAGAAGAGAAGGAGAAAAAGGAGAAGAAGAAATAGGAGATGGGAAAAGGAAAAAGAGAAATGATTGAAGCAGGAAAAGAAGCAGGAAGAGAAGAAAAGGAGAAAAAGAAGGAGAAAAAGAAGGAGAAAAGGAGAAAGAGAAGAGAGAAGGACGAGGAAGAAGAGGAGGAGGAGAGAAGGAGAAAGAGAAGGAAGGGAAAAGAGAAGGAAAAGGAGAAGAGAAAGGGAGACGGAGAAGAAGAAGGGAAGATGAAGGAGGAGGAATAGGAAGAGAAAAAAGAAAAGAAGGAGGAAAGGAAGGAAGGAGGAAGGAGAGAAGCAGGGAGAGAAGAAAGTAAAGGAAGGAAGGAGAGGAAAAAAGGAGAGAAAGAGAAAAGGAAGAAGGAGAGAAGAAGAGAAAGAGAAAAAGAAGGAAAGGAAGAAGGAAAGGAGGAGAAAGATAAAAGGGAGAGTAATAATAATAATAATAAATTTTATTATTTATTTTATTTAATCATTAAAATAAAAAATAGGAGGGAGAGGAGATGAAGGAAGAGAAGGAGAGTAGGAAGAGAGGATAAAGAAAAGGAGAAGGAGGTGAAAGAGAAACAGAAAAGGGGAGGAGGAGGAGGAAGGGGAGGAGAAGAAAGAGAAAAAGGAGAAGGAGAGGAAGGAGAAAAAGGGAAAGAAAGAGGAGAAAGAAGAGGAGGAGGGAGAGGAGGGAGAGGAGATGAAGGAAGAGAAGGGGAGTAGGAAGAGAGGATAAAGAAAAGGAGAAGGAGGAGAAAGAGAAAGGGGGAGGAGGAGGAGGAAGGGGAGGAGAAGAAAGAGAAAAAGGAGAAGGAGGGGAAGGAGAAAAAGGGAGAGAAGGAGGAGAAAGAAGAGGAGGAGGGAGAGGAGATGAAGGAAGAGAAGAGGAGTAGGAAGAGAGGATAAAGAAAAGGAGGAGGAGAAGGAGGAACAGAAAAGGGGGAGGAGGAGGAGGAAGGGGAGGAGAAGAAAGAGAAAAAGGAGAAGGAGGGGAAGGAGAAAAAGGGAGAGAAGGAGGAGAAAGAAGAGGAGGAGGGAGAGGAGATGAAGGAAGAGAAGAGGAGTAGGAAGAGAGGATAAAGAAAAGGAGGAGGAGAAGGAGGAACAGAAAAGGGGGAGGAGGAGGAGGAAGGGGAGGAGAAGAAAGAGAAAAAGGAGAAGGAGGGGAAGGAGAAAAAGGGAGAGAAGGAGGAGAAAGAAGAGGAGGAGGGAGAGGAGATGAAGGAAGAGAAGAGGAGTAGGAAGAGAGGATAAAGAAAAGGAGGAGGAGAAGGAGGAACAGAAAAGGGGGAGGAGGAGGAGGAAGGGGAGGAGAAGAAAGAGAAAAAGGAGAAGGAGGGGAAGGAGAAAAAGGGAGAGAAGGAGGAGAAAGAAGAGGAGGAGGGAGAGGAGGAGGTTCTTCAATCCCGCAAAAGCGCTTTCCTCAGAGAGAGAGAAAGTATATATTTCCCTCCCATAAACCGCTTTCAAAACCGCTTTTAAACAAATAAATCCCCTTGCAACTTGGAATCGAATTCGAACCGAGTGAGAGGACTGGAGTGGACACGATTCCTTCTCTTGGACTTCCAAACCGAAATGAAAGGATTCGATTGCTTCGCTTTTCTTTCTCCCGCTTTCAAACCTAACATCGAGACCAGATTAAATCCGATTCCATATTCCGCCTGCTTGGGAAAGATTGCTGAGATGATATACTAATATTAATACTAATATTAATACTCATATGTAGGGTTGGCCGAGGGAACACTTTCATAATAATTATGTCGGGTTTGCTGGCAGAAAAGATGGTGCGACAATTCTCTACCTTCTTTCCACCTGCTTCCTTCTTTTCTTCCTTCCTCTCTGCCTTCCTCCAGTCTCTCTTTCTCCTTCCTTCCTTCCTTTGTTTGGTTTTTGGTCCCTCCATTCTCTCTTTGCTTTGTTTCTCTCTTCATTCCCTCCTTCTTACTTTTGCTTTCTTCCCTGTCTTTTGTACCTCTCTCTCCTTCCTTCCTTTCTCTCTTTTTTTGTTCTATAAATTCCTTCCTTCCTGTCTTCTTTCATGCCTTTCTCTTCCTTTCCTTTTCCCTTCCTTCTTTTCTCTCTCTCTCTCCCTCTCTCCTTTTCTTCCTTCCTTCTTCTCTTCATCTCTCTCTTCCTTCCCTTCCCTTTCCCCTTCCTTTCTTTCACTATCTCGTTCCTTTCTTCCTTTTTCATTCCTTCCTGTCTTCTTTCATTACCTTTCTCTTCCTTCCCTTCCCTTTCCCCTTCCTTCCTTCTTTTCTCTTTTTCTTTTCTCCCTCTCTCCCTTTTCCCTTCCTTCCTTCCTTCCTTCCTTCCTTCCTTCCTTCCTTCCTTCCTTCCTTCCTTCCTTCCTTCCTTCCTGTCATTCTCTTCCCTTCCCTTTTCCCTTCCTTTCTTTCACTATCTCGTTCCTTTCTTCCTTTTTCATTCCTTCCTGTCTTCTTTCATGCCTTTCTCTTCCTTCCTCCCTTCCCCTTCCTCCTTTCCTCTCCTTCCTTCTTTTCTCTTTTCTTTTCCTCCCCTCCCTTTTCCTTCCTTCTTCTTTCCTTCCTCCTCTCCTTCCTTCCTTCCTTCCTTCCTTCCTTCCTTCCTATCTTCTTTCATGCCATTCTCTTCCTT